GAAGGAGAAGAGATTGTGGCATGGCCATCCCCCCTGGGGGGGGTGATTTCTCGCTTTTTGTCTCTGTCTCTGTCTTTCTGGCGAGAGAATGCGCCCTATAGCAAAAACCTCTCCTACATATGTATATGTGTGTGTTTGTGTGTGTTTAGTTTATTATTATTAATTTTTAATTTAACCAGGGCAAAAGAGAGGGAAAGTTAGAAAGCAAGCCATCGCGTCTAGGATTTGAACTGTGATTGGTCATTTGAGACTCCAGTGCCTTAGCCACCATGTCACTTGCACCCCCCAAAATAATCTCGTACTTCATTTTATTCTAATTTAACCAGGGCAAAAGAGAGGGAAAGTTAGAAAGCAAGCCATCACGTCTAGGATTTGAACTGCGATTGGTCGTTTGAGACTCCAGTGCCTTAGCCACCACGTTACTTGCTGGCCCCCAAAATAATCTCGTACTTCATTTTATTCCATGAACTTTTTGAAGTCCTCTTCATACTTTTGAGTCAGATGGTATCTCTTTTCTCTTTCCATCTCTGAGTGGCCATGTGGTCATTCATTTGTTCAATAAATTATCTCACACTTGGGGGTCTGTCAGACACTGTTGTAGCTGCTGAAGAGAATGTAAAAATCTCCACCCAGCTGGGACATTTAAATAGTGTCCAAAGCTGTGGTCTGGCCTCGTCAGTTCCGCAGGGTGTCCCTGACCTCTTGCTGAGAGCTACATGGAAAGGTGGGAAACCGTATGATTCCTTGTTTCTGGAATTTCAGAGGTGTGGACAGACCTGTGCGCTGTTGGCTGGGGTTCTGTGATGGGTCTCTGGGACGCGGGATGGAACCAGAGACGTTAGCCAGCTGGTTTCCTCTGATGCCCTGCCCACTTTCTTCCCAAGATGGGAAAAGCCCTGGTGGTAGGTCGTAATTAACTGATAAAGGAGCAGATGGGGCCAGTGATCCGCACACCAGAAAAGTTTCCTTCATGACAAAATGTAACAAGGTAAAAGGACAAATGTGAAATGTTGAGTGGTTAAAGAAGCAGACTGTAAGTTACTGTTAAATCTTTAGAAATGACTTATGTGGTCATCAAGCTACCATTAAATCAGACTGGAACATTAGTATCTTGGGAAGAATTGATAGTATTTCTTCCTTTCTTTTCTTTTCTTTTTTTTTTAAGAGAGAATTCTGCTGTAGGGTACATGTGCTTGCCAGAGAGACAGAGACAGAAGTGAGAAATCACCCCTCAGAGGGGATGGCCATGCCACAATCTCTTCTCCTCCATTCTCCTCTTGGGATTTTGGGTGTGCAAATATGCACCCAGCATGAGTTTTAAGCTGCCAGGTCTGGGACTCAAACCACAGTTAAATATGTGTGAGTACAGGGACAAAACCATTATACCACCCGCTGACCCCAATTGACAGTATTTCTTTAGGTAGCACCTAAATCATACCACCTCCACGCGTGCACGCTCTCCTGTGCCTCTGTCCTTGGTAGCTGCTGAGAGTCGTTGACTCCACTGTGCTGGTTGGTGACAGTACTAACAAAATGGGAGAAAGAGCCAGGTGCATTCTAATTCTACGAGTGCAGAGAAAGGGACCCTGATGCGGTGTTGCAGAATGGGCATGGATTAGCACTTTCTGGTTCAAGAGGCCAATGCCTCCTGAGGCTCAGAAATTCTTTTGAAACCAGCAAAAACCCATTGAATAATGGTTGTGTCAAGCTTTGTGTGAGGAGCTCTAATGCTAGCTTTGTAATTGGAAGAAAGCCTTTATCATCGACATCTAGCCTATCTGCACAGTGGAATTCACTCCCTGCCCTCTTCCAGGTAAAAAGGGAGTGTACATGACGGATGTAACACCGCAAGGCGTAGCTATGAAAGCTGGGGTCCGGGATGACGATCACCTGATTGAAGTGAATGGAGAGAATGTAGAAGATGCCAGCCACGAGGAGGTGGTTGAAAAGGTAAGGCCCGGGAAGGACTTGTCCTCTTCTAGCTTTCACTCTGTTCTCACTGGAAGTGAGAGATGGGGGGTGGGTAGTGGCTGGGATGAGTTTATGACAGGAAGAACATCCTGAATGTCCTGTCGAGCTGCTCATTTGTATACAGGGCAGATGTGCTAGGGTTAATTTAGGTTTGAAATACAGTCTTTGCTATTGGGCTGTTGGAAAAGTCATGAAGTACTTTTTGTTTTTGGAGAGGTTTTTGCTATAGGGCATGAGTGCTCGCCAGAAAGACAGAGAGAGACAGAGATACAGAAAGCAAAAAATCACCACCAAGGGGGGATGGCCACGCTGCAATCCCTTCTCCTCCATTCTTTTGGGATCTTGGGCATGCACGCACATGCGCCCGGCGTGAGTTTAAGCCGCCGGCTCCAGGGCTTGAACCATGGTTGGCTACATGGGAGTCCAGCGACATAGTCATTACACCAACTGCTGGTCTCGAAGTACTTTTGATGTTTTTCTGTTTAAAAATGCATTGTAGGGGCCGGCAGGTGGCGTGGTGGTTGAAGTTCTGGACTCCTACATGGCTGACCACGTGGTTTGAGTCCCAGGCCTGGTGGCTTGATTTCTCACATTCCCTCCCTCTCTCTTTCTCTCTCTGGTGAGCCCACGTGCCCTATAGCAAATTTAAAACATAGTAATAATAATAAGTAAAATTAAATAAATAATATAAAAAAATGCATCATGACTTTCCCGATGACCTAATAGTTTCACGTGAAGAGGTCTAAAGAATCATTCGCTTTACCTTTTAGATCTCGTTTGTACCTGAGGGAGCCTCCTCTGTACAGTAGATTCAGTATGGAGCAGGTGATGCTAAAATGTTTGCCTAGAAATGGCAGGTGACCTCTGTGGCTGTGAGTGCTGCGCATGGGAGACCTGTTACCCCAATCTCAGGTCCCAGCTTGGTTCCATGACACGTGGAAAATGATCTGAGGTTTCCCTGAGGTCATATGGAACCTCGAGCATGGACCACCTTCTCTTGGTGGAATAATCCTTAAAGTGGACCCTTACTTTCTTTCCCAGGCACCTAGCCTAGCCTTTGCCTTTTTATCTGCCTGGGCTTTCTGCATTCTAGCTTTCACTTGGGTTCTGTTAGCATCTGTGTGGGTGAGGTCATACTTAGCAAAGGGAAAAAACAACCATCAGAATGGAGACAGAGAAATACGTGAGGTGGTAGGAAACAGCAGCTCAACAGCTTACACCGCAGCTTGCGTCCCAGACTTGCTGCTGAACTGCGACTCTGTGTGCAAAGTTTCTCACTCTCCCGCGTTGACCCTGGGGGTGATGCCATTCCTCACCTCTGTGTGGTGTTGTAGGTGAAGAAATCAGGGAGCAAAGTGATGTTCTTACTGATGGACAAAGACACTGACAAGCTCCTTCGAGAGCAGAAGATACAATTCAAGAGAGAAACAACCAGTTTGAAACTGTTACCACGGCAGCCCAGAGTTGTGGAGATGAAGAAGGGAAGCAACGGCTATGGCTTCTATTTGCGGGCGGGCCCGGAACAGAAAGGTAAGACGCTGGGAGAGCGAAGACTGGGCAGTGTGGTCACCCCATTCTTCATCCCAATCCAACCCCGGAAGTCCATTTGGCCCCCCACTCCCCACTATAGATGAGAAAGTAGGAGGCGTAGCTGGGCCAGGTTTGACATCACACACAGGCCTGACTTTGGGCATCAGCAAGTTCCTGCAGCAGGTACTAGGGCAGACTCTGGGATCGGGCCATGGTATCTGGTAAACTGGCTCCATGAAAAGTGCTCATTTGCAGTATCTGTTGATTTTTTTTTGGAGAGGTTTTTGCTATAGGGCACGTGCGCTCACCCGACAGACAGGGAGAGACATAGAGATAGAAAGTGAGAAATCACCCCCCAGGGGGGATGGCCACGCCGCAATCCCTTCTCCTCCATTCTCCTCTCGGGATCTTGGGCATGCACGCACACACGCCTGGCATGAGTTTAAGCCACCGGGTCTGGGACTCGAATCAGAGTCGTCTACATGGGAGTCCAGTGACATAGCCATTAAGCCAACTGCTGGTCCCAAGGCCCTTTAATTGTTAATAGCTGGGCTTATCCCTGGAGTAAGTTCTGAGCCGGAAGTGAGTCCAGATAAGGGTGCTTTATAAGAATCCTGGGATGCCCGTGGATGAGAAGTAGTTGTACAGAGTTGTCTTTTATATCTGTTTCCTAAGGACCTTGGACTTCTGCAGCAGTTTATTTGTTGAGGAACTTTTCTGATACTTCTATTTTTGGGGGTGGGGGATGGACAGGTCAAGTCATCAAGGACATAGATTCTGGAAGTCCGGCAGAGAAGGCTGGGTTGAAGAACAACGACCTGGTAGTTGCTGTCAACGGCGAGTGTGTGGAAACCCTCGATCATGACAGTGTGGTGGAAATGATCAGAAAGGGTGGAGATCAGACTTCACTACTGGTGGTAGACAAAGAGACGGACAACATATACAGGATGGTGAGTAACACAAGTAATACGTGTGCAAGGGAGGGGCCCATTCTTTTAACATAATTATTTATTAACTTTTTATTTGTTATCATTTTTTTTGAAGAGGTTTTTGCTATAGGGCGCGTGCACTCACCAGACAGACAGAGAGAGAGAGACAGAAAGCAAGAAATCACCCCCCAGGGGGGATGGCCACGCCACAATCCCTTCTCTTCCATTCTCCTCTTGGGATCTTGGGCACGCCCGCACACCTGCCGGGCGTGAGTTTTAAGCCACCGGGTCCGGGACTTGAACTGCGGTCGACTACGTGGGAGTCCAGCGACATAGGCATTACGCTAACTGCTGGTCCCTAACATTCATTTTTTTAAATTGGACCAGAGAGAGGCAGAGAGAGAGAAAGGGAAAGTGAGAAAGCAAGCCACCAGGTCCAAGACTTGAACCGCTGTGGGCCATGTGGGAGTCCAGTGGCTTAACCACCATGGCACCCGTTGGTCTAGAGTTTAAAGATTTTTTTTTTTTTTGGGAGGAGGAGAGGTTTTTGCTATAGGGCACATGCGCTCGCCAGAAAGACAGCGAGACAGAAAGCCAAAAATCACCCCTAGGGGGATTGCCACGCCACAATCCCTTCTCCATTCTCCTCTCAGGATCTTGGGTACGCACGCACACGCGCCTGGCATGAGTTTAAGCCACTGGGTCTGGGACTAGAACTGTGGTTGACTACATGGGAGTCCAGCGACAGCCATTATGCCAACTGCTGGTCCCAAGATTTTTTTTTTTTTTCGTTTAGAAAAGGAGATAATTTATTTTTCACTTATGAGGTGAGAACCATTGATATAAGGTATTCTCCCATGATAATGTTAATTGATTTTCATGATGTTTGAAGATTTGTGATATATTCTGCTTTTTTTTCTTCTGAAAATTTTTTTTTATTAATTTACATTCATTTCCTGAGCATCATCACAACATACAAAATGTGGTTTCCCATCTAGAATAAACTGGATAGTGGCTTAATCATGCATGTTATCATCCATAATATTCCATTTCTACTTTCATGTATATATGTTTTTTACCCCATGTCTGACCCTCTGCCCTATTCCACTCTCTTATTACACTATCTCTGCTGTCTACAGTTGTCTTCAATTCCTTTTCCCCCAACATTTCGTTGATCACACAATATCATAAGTAATCTAACTACTTACAATAGCAAGTGCAGCATACTAAATATGGCATGCTGATAAATCCTAAGTAAACTAACTTGTTTTTCCCTAAAAATCCATTTTTTGTTTTGAAGAGGGGAAATTGTACTTACTGTTGTTTACTAAATCTTTATGTGAAAGCTTAGCAAGTATGTGTGAACTTTTACTACTGGACTTTAGTTTATAAGTGCTATTTCTTTTTGAGAGATTTTGCTATAGGGTGTTGACGCTCACTGGAGAGACAGAAAGAAAGAGAGAAAACGAGAAATCTTCCCTAGGGGGAATGGCCATGTTGTAAGCCCTTCTCTTGCATTCTCCTCTTGGGATATTGGGCACACATGCATGCACATACACCCAGCGTGAGTATCAAGTTTCCAGGTCCAGAACTATGGTCAGCCATGGGGGAGTCCAGTGCCTTAACCACTATGCCACCTGCTGGACCCTCTATTAACAACTCTTACTCATAATACCCTGTCTACATTCTTTTCCTTTCTTTCTTTCTTTCTTCTTCTTCTTTTTTTTTTTTTTTAAAGAGATATTTTTGCTATTAGAGTGAGTACACTCACCAGAGAGACAGACAGAAAGGAAGAAATCACCTCTCCAGGGGGGATGGCCACATCACAATCTCTTGTCTTCTATTCTCCTCTTGAGCTTTTGGGCATGTACGCACACACACCTGGTGTGAGTTTTAAGCCACCAGGCCCGGGACTCGAACTTTAGTCAATTAAATGGGAGTCCAGCGATGTAGCCATTATGCTGGTCCCAGCCTATCTACAGTCCTAAGGTACTATACATTTTTATAATCACAAGAACTGAGATGCAGTCTAGTCTAATAGACATCGAGGGGTTTCTAAGTACCATCTGCCTTACTAGGTGTTGGTCATAAAGATGAATAAAATAAATGTCATATACAATAATAGAAGCTTAAGAAGGTAAATAAATGATGCAGAGGTAGGAGTATTGTGAATGCTGATAGGAGCCCCTTTTTATAGATGAGCAAACTAAAGCTTGGAGAGAGACTTACGTGATTTGCTAAAATTACCTAGTTTAATAAAGACTAATGACAGTATTTGAGCTCAGGTTCTTAAAGAACACCATTTTTTTTTCTTTTTTTGGAGAGATTTTCACTATAGGGCGCGTGCGCTCACCAGATGGACAGAGAGAGACATAGAGACAGAAAGCGAGAAATCACCCCCCAGAGGGGATGGTCATGCCGCAATCCCTTCTCCTCCATTCTCCTCTCGGGATCTTGGGCACGCACGCACACGCGCCTGGCATGAATTTTAAGCCACCGGGTCTGGGACGCGAACCACGGTCGACTACGTGGGAGTCCAGTGACATAGCCATTATGCTAACTGCTGGTTCCCTTAAAGAACACCTTTCAAATATTTAAAATTTTTATTATTTTAAAAATAATTATTTAATTTTCTTTCTTTTTTTTTTTTTTTTTTTTTAACTATAGGCCACTGGGCCCACTTAGGACACAGAGGGAGAAGGTGAGAAAGCAAGTTGGCAGGTCTGGGACTCAAATTGTGGTCAGTCATATGGGAGTCCAGCTCATCTTAACCACCCTGCCACCTGCTGGCCCTCATTTTCCTATTTTAAAAGACTTTTGCTATAGGACTGGCAAGAGAGAGAAGAAATTGGAGAAATTCTTGGGGTGGCCACACCACAATCCTTCTCCATTCTCCTTGAGATTTTGGGTTCATATGCACCAACGCCCAGTGTGGTTTTTCAGGCTCCAGGTCTTGGACTTGAACCATAGTTGGCCATGTAGGAGTCCAGCCTACCTGCCTGATTGGACTTTTTTTTTTTTTTAAGAGGTATTTTTGCTATATGGTACAGTGCATCCACTTGCCAGAGAGACAGAAAGCAAATTACTCCCCAGGGAGATGGCCATGCAGCAATCCCTTCTGCATTCTTTCAGGATTTTAGGCATGTACACACAAGCCCCCTGCATGAGTTTTAAGCCACCGACTCAGGGACTTGAACTGCGGTCGATTATGTGGGAGTCCAGTGATGTAACCATTACACCATCTGTTGGTCCTGTGATTGAACCCTTAAGTCACAGAAAACTGGGTGATAGAAAAATAAATTGGGTTTTTGTTAGTTGAAGAATCAAACCTAGAGAATACTTGATATTAGAACAAGGTCAACCTGAATAGAAGTCTCCAATGCCAAACTGCTGTTCCTATCCTGAACTAGCCTGAAAATATGAGGGGAGCCATGGAAACCTATTTAACATACTTTGAGAACAACAGTGGTAAGTAATTTCTTGGAGGGTATAATTAATATTCAAATATCTAAATTAGGATAGAAAGAAAGTTTATAGTCAGCCAGTGGCATGGTAAAAATGACTGGATCTCACATGGTTGACTGTGTGGTGTCAGTGCTGGACACAGAGGCTTGAAAAACGTGCTGGGCACTTGTGAGTGTATGCCCAAAATCACAATGGGAGAATGGAGCTGAAGGGACTATAGTGTGGTCATCCTCCCAGGGGATGCTTGCCTTTTTTTTTAAATTTAACTTTTATTTATTTATTTATTTAAATTTGACCAGAGATGGAGAGAGAGAGAGAGAGAGAGAGAGAGAGATAGCCACCAGGTCCAGTACTCAAACCAGGGTTGGCCATGTGGGAGTCCAGTGCCCTTAACCACCGCATTACCTGCTGGCCCCAGGGGATGCTTTCTTACTTTCTCTTTCTCTCCCTGGTGAGTATAGGTGTCCTAAAGCATAATAATAAAAAAATAAGGAAAAAGAAAGAAAACACTAAATTGAAACAGGAGTAAATTTCAAATACTGTTGTAACTTAAAATAAATTGAATGTGGACCAGCAGGTGGTATGGTGTTAAAGAAGTGAACTTCCACACGGCTGACTGCAGTTTGAGTCCTGCTTTCTTCCTTTCCCTTTCTCTTTCTGTCTCTCATCAAATTAAAATAAATAAATAAAAAACAAATGGAAATAAATAATTTTTTTTAAAAAAGGAAAATTGTGGGACCAGCAGTAGTGATGGTTACATTGCTGGACTCCCACATGGCTGACTGCTATTTGAGTCCCAGACCCAGTAGCTTGAAAATCACGCTGGGCATGTGTGCATGCATGCCCAAGATTCGTGGAGGAGAATGGAAAAGGGATTGTGGTGTGGCCATCCTCCCGGGTGGTGATTTCTCAATTTCCCTCTCACTATCTCTATCTCTCTTTCTCTGGTGATTGTCGAAGGCAAAAGCCTCTTTAAAAAATTGTATGAATATGAAATGGTGAGACTTGATTTGATGACTGTAGAAAAAGACCAGAAACTGCATACTCCCAGTAGCTGCCCTCACCCAGAAAAGGTGATTTAAAGTTACATTGACACTTGGCTTCTAGAGAGCATCACCTTAACTGTAATGACGAAGTCAGACCATACTTGGAATTCTGGTGTCACCTTGTGCATTAGTCTCCTTAGTGGTAGGGTGGGATAGCTACTGCGAAAGGTGGCTGTGAGGGTTAAGTGAGTTGAAGTTTAAAATGAGCACAATAATACCTCACACATATAAATGCTGCTTGCTAAATCAATAGTCCAGTTCTGAGAACCTCACTTTAAAAGCACCAGTGACGGGCCAACAGGCGGCATGGTGGTTAAAGTGCTGGACTCCCACATGACCAATTGTGGTTTGAGTCCTGGACCTGCTGGCTTGCTTTTTTTACTTTTCCTCTCTCTGTCTCTCTCTAGTGAGTACACATGCCCAACAGTAAAAAAAAACGGACATGTGTGCTCGCCAGAGAGAGCAAATGAGAAATCACACCTTGGTGGGGATGGCCATGCCACAATTCCTTCTCCTCCATTCTCCTCTTGGGATCTTGGACATGCACACACACGTGCCCAATGTTTTTCAAGCCACTGGGTCTGGGACTCGAACTGTGGTCAACCACGTGGGAATCCAACGACATAACCATTATGCTGTCTGCTGGTCCCAAAATTAAACAATTCTTAAAAAATAAAAGGGCAGTGAAAAGAAAGGAAAATAGGGAAGAGGTTTTGGAAGCCATTTTGAGATTATTTAGCTTGAGTAGGCATAGGGCTTTGGAGAAGAAAGAAGAGCATATCAAGAATTTCAAAGGCTTTTCCATGTGAGGAAGAATAGACCTTTAATTTTTTTTAATTGCCAGAGGGTGTGTGTGTTTCCGAGAGAGAGAGAGAGAGAGAGAGAGAGAGAGAGCGAGCCACAATCCTTTTTCTATTACTCCAACCTGTTGGGATTGTGGGCTGCGGGGCCAGGTTTTGAAGTGCGGCTGGCTACAGGGGATCCAGATACCCTAACCACTAGGCTACAGGCTGGCCCTAGACTACTTCTGCATATGTTGCAGCATTGTATAGGGCATAGTTGGATCTTTTGGCTTAAGAACTGAGGCTGCCCCAAACGGGATGAATCACTTCTGCAGAGCGGTGAGCTCTCCCAGTTGTTGGAGAAAGCCAAGCAGAAGTCAGGCCACGGCTCTGGCTGCAGTTAAGGGGTTTCTGACATTGAGTCCTTTCCAACTCCTTCTAATCTTATCACAGAATGATTGAACTGTAATTGTTGTTTGGTTAATATGAGAGAACTTTGATCTAAAAAGATTCCTGCCCTTTTTCAGCTCTGCCTCAGAGTAAGTTCCAAGGATTAGGGTGTGGAGCGGCCCTTGAGACTTAAAATAGTTCCTGGCATGCACTACACCTCGGAAGAGTTGAAATGAAGAATAAAAGCTTTACTTTTAAACAATTTTTTTTTATTAGTTTTTCTATAGGGTGTCTGTGCTTGCCAGAGAGAGACAGAGAGAAGGATAGTGAGAAATCACCCCCCCACCCCCCCTGCCCCCAGAGGGGATGGGCACACTGCAAACCCTTCTCCTCTTGACATTCTAGGCATGTGTGCACACATACCCTGTATGATTTTCAAGCTGCCGGGTCTAGGACTCGAAGCACACACCTGGCCATGGGGATTCAGTGCCTCACCTCCATGCTACCTGCTGGCCCTGGCTTTTTGTTTTGTTGCTGCACCTCAAGATGAGCTGCCAGTCAGAAACAGATTTGCTTGTTCAATCAAATGTAGCAAAGTCACTTTGATAAATGTTCACATTAAAGAGAGAAAGACTTCAATATGGGACATTTGCAAGTTCATCACTGAGAGGTCTTGAGTTAGTTGAACTAGATACTAGAAGGTTCTACTGGTGCTACTCTCATTTAGAAAGGAAGAAGATGTGGTCTTGTGGTTAGTAAGGCGGATGATAACCAGAGGATCCAAGGTCTATTTTTAGCCAGGCTGCTGAGCAGTGTGATCTGGGTTGGAGCATACACAGTAATCACCTTTATTTTTTAGAGATTTTTGCTATAGGGCATGTGCACTTGCCAGAAATACAGAAAGTGAGAAATCACCCCCCAGGGAGGATGGCCACACCACAGTCCCTCTCCTCCATTCTCCTCTTGGGATTTTTGGGCACTCACACACATGCTTCCAGTGTGAATATCAAGCCACCTAGTTGTTGTCAGCCATATAGTTCAGCACCTTAACCACTATGCCACCTGCTGCCCCCTGGGCTCACCTTTAATTGCTTGAACTCCTATTCATTTCCCAGCAAATGTCATGGACACTGTGGGCAGCAACCAAACTGCTGACCCAAGATCATACTACACCAAAACCTGCCCTCCTAACCTTCAGCTAAAATCTACAGCCACTGTAACTCTTTAATTCTGCTGAAATCAGTCATGTTTTCTGTTTTACGCCTTTTCTGCACTCAAGGAAAGTGCTTTCTTCACACAGATGGTCTGGGAGTTGAGACAGACTAGAAGTCCTTACAGACGGTGGAGTTAGACATAACAGAATGGCCAGTTGGTGGCTATTACCATAAATAGTAAGATAAACTGAGCATGACAGATCCCAGGACAGGGGGCGGTGATGAGCAGCAAAGTTGGAATTAACTTTTGTTACGTGACCACATGATTGCCATTGCGCCCTCCGCCCCCAGTTATTACTGTGTATTCAGGTTGGTCTCTTCTGTTAGCTTTTAGTCTTCAGATAGTGATCAAAATAGCATCTTGTGTTTACTTTCTTTGTGTTTAAGGAGCTCTGAAGATCATGTTACTGAAAGGGAAGTGCCAGAGAACTTATTTTGCCTGAGATACTGGGCTAGTCACTCAGATATGTGTCATTTCCCAATAACGGGACTGTGTATAGGGTGTCCAGTGATTTGCTCACCATCACAGGGTCAGAAGAAACTAGCAATTCTAGCAGACATCTCTTTGGATTATTGTATGCCATTCTGCGTGCTTTTATTTTATGCATACATATACCTTTGTGTGCATGTTTATATTACTCGATAACCAAGCTTGATCTTTTATACCTTTTGCGACTGAGGTAGTAGGGAAATTTACAGTCTACAACCAGATGTATCTGGAAGAGAAGTGGAATATGTATGACACTTTCCAAATTAAGCCAGCATATTTAATAAAGTGTAACTACTCATACTTACAATTAAGTCAAATGTTTTTCTTCTATTTTCAAAAGGCTCGATTTTCTCCATTTCTCTATCTTCAAAGTCAAGAGCTACCTAATGGTTCCATTAAGGAGGTTCCAGCGCCTACGCCTGCTCCTCTGGAGGCCTCAAGTCCAGATACTGCAGAGGAAGTAGGCACTCATAAGCCTAAAATCTGCAGACTGGTTAAAGGTGAAAACGGCTATGGCTTTCACTTGAATGCAATTCGGGGTCTGCCAGGCTCATTCGTCAAAGAGGTACGGTAATCTGTTCCCGTAGCCTAACATCAGTCATGATTAGCACATTCTCAGCTCCCCCACCCAACCATGGCTGAGTAAAAAGGTTACATTTAGGGTTTTCACCGAGGGGCTCAGGTGGGGTCAGATAAATGCTGTCATGGTTCTGCACCCTGTAAGTTAGCATATAATATTGTAAACTCACATCTTCTGCTTCCCAGACATCTGTTCCACCAGATTGTCTCTCTAGACATTTTTGAATCAAGTTAAAGGAGTAAGTAGACATGACACCTTTACCAGTCCCGACTGGGAGTGTTATTTGTTTTTACTCTGTGCATTTGGCCTGATGCCCCCATCAGGTAGGGACTGACCATGAGAAGACTATCCCTATAAGCTAGCAGAGAAGAAGGGGGATCTAGGAAACCTAAGGCCTTCAGCCCAGAAGACAGCCAAAATGATATTCAACCACTGTTCATAACACTACTCACGTCAGTATGGAGGTTGTAGCTTTCAAGTGCAGAAAAGCATGAGAGCGCCTTTCTTAACTTCTGTATCTCAAAGAGAAATAGTAACAGGGTTAAGAATAAATTCTCGAACTCATTTATCCTCTGGAGGAAAGCCAGTCTAACACGCCCTTGCTTGTGTGTGGAACTGATACCGGGGCACCTCTGTTCACAGATACAGAAGGGCAGCCCTGCTGCCTCAGCTGGGCTGGAGGATGAGGATGTCATCATTGAAGTAAATGGGGCGAATGTGCTGGATGAACCCTATGAGAAAGTGGTGGACAAAATCCAGAGCAGCGGGAAGAGTGTCACACTCTTAGTCTGCGGAAAGAAGGCCTATGATTATTTCCAGGCAAAGAAAATCCCTATTGTTTCCTCCATGGCTGATCCATTAGATGCCTCCCCAGATTCCGAAGAAGAAACACTAGCAGAGTCCGAGTCCGATGGGCCCGTGGCAAAAGATCGGGTGAGTAGGGATAAGAGTGCTTTTAGTGAGCTAACTTACCAGGGTTTGGGACAATCCCTAAAATGTATACCTCATATCTAGGTTTACCACAGATTGTTCTGAAATATTGTGTTGTCAGGAAAAGCTATGATGCATTTTTGCATAGAAAAACATAGAGAAATACCTCATGACTTTTCTGACGACCTAATACTAGAGAATGACACTGTAAAGATAGGTAAAAAGTCAAGTTACTGTGGAGGATAAGAAGCAGTGGAAGGACAATGAGTTTCTTATTTATCTAGAACCAACAAGTCAAGAAATACTCATATCTAGGTTTACCACAGATTGTTCTGAAATATTGTGTTGTCAGGAAAAGCTATGATGCATTTTTGCATAGAAAAACATAGAGAAATACCTCATGACTTTTCTGACAACCTAATACTAGAGAATGACACTGTAAAGATAGGTAAAAAGTCAGGTTACTGTGGAGGACAAGAAGCAGTGGAAAGACAATGAGTTTGTTATTTATCTAGAACCAACAAGTCAAGAAATACAAGTCAGAAGTTTATAAAAAGTATAACGGGGACACCAGAAGAACCTAAATCAGACTATCTAGGTATAAATTCTGGTTCTGTCGCTTATTAGCCTTGGACAAATTGATTTATTTGCCCTGTGCTTCAGTTTCCTCATCTGTAAGACAGGGATACTTTGTAGAATTATTACCAGGATTTTATTAACTAAGATTATTACAGTGCTTTAAAAAGTGCTTGGGTTGGGACCAGCAGTTGGCTGAAAGGCTATGTCGCTGGACTCCCATGTAATTGACCATGGTTCGAGTCCTGGATTCGGTGGCTTAAACTCACGCCGGGCATGTGTGCATGCGTGCATGCGTGCCCAAGATCCTGCGAGGAGAATGGAGGAGAAGGGATTGAGGCTGGCCATCACCCCTGGGGGGTGATTTCTCACTTTCTACCTCTCTGTCTCTCTTTCTGGCGAGCGCAAGCGCCCTATAGCCCATAGCAAAAAGCTCTCAAAAAAGGAAAAAAAAAATGCTTGGATCACAGTGAACATGAAAATAGTAATGGTTAGGGGACTGCATTATTTTCAAATAATTTGCAAGTATGACTTTTTTTTTAGATTAAGCATCATTCTCCACAGGAGGAATCTTCTCAAAGTCCTTGGAAAATGCATTTTATAAAAAAACTATACATGAATTTCAAATTGTTTGCACCAAAGTAAACTCATACTTTAATTCTATTTTCCATTAACTTTTGAAGCTCCTACATATTTTGATTAGATAAATTCCTTGGTATCAGTTTTATATTTTTATTCAATTTTTTTTTCATAGATGAACTTGAAGTGCAAAAGTGAAATGACTTCTCCAAGTTCATCATGAAATTTATGGCAGAGCCGGGACTCCAAAAGCTTAACTCAATATTCTATTATATTAATTCTAATTAATACTCATATACAATAGCCATTGACCTTGTATTCTGGAATGCTTAACAAAGAAGTATGCTAGTTGTCTTTTGTTTGTTTGGTGAGGTTTTTGCTTTGCTTTAGGGCACGTGTGCTCAACAGAAAGAGACAGAGAGACAGGAAGTGAGAAATCACCCCCCGGGGGGGATGGCTACTCCACAGTTCCTTCTCCTCCATTCTCCTCTTTGGATCTTGGGCACATGCACACACGTGCCTGGCATGAGTTTAAGCCACCGGGGTCCAGGACTCGGTCAACTACATGGGAGTCCAGCAACATAGCCATTATGTTAACTGCTGGTCCCCACTAGTTGTCTTTTAAAAAATCTATATAATTCTTCTAAGGAAGTCATTTATAGTACTGTACTAGTCTTATAGAAAAGAAATATGTATAGACACAAAGAAATTTGTCAATGTGTCAAACAGCAAATCAGAAAGAAAGCCAAGTGTAGAATTCAGGTTACCTGGCTTCTGGTGAGTGACTAGGATAGCTCATCTCTCTTCTGATGGCCATGCTCTAATACTTGTGAATCTTTGTTTTCTTCTGCACAGGCCCTCAGTACAGCCTCACATGCCTCTTCCAACTCTGAAGATACAGAGATGTAATGGCTTTGGCTGACAGCAGCTTCTGGGTATTTAATAGGAGTCCTTTCTCAAGGAATGAGTTGCCACCCATTCCTTTTATGGCCTCTGTTAGAGAAGAACTCTTCTGGAAACCATTCATCATGTGTGATTGTCTTCGGTTGTCACTTGTCTTGGGGGAGCAGCTATTACAGACTGCTTATAGAGCTAAGGCAGAAGTCAGATTCTTTTTATGTGAAATCTTCTAAACTTCAACTTAGCCACATTTGCCTGTATGATGGTATCTTTTACTTCTATTGGCTCTTTGAGCACCAAAGATGATTAATAAATCTGTATATCTGAGAGTTAAAGTATCTGAGAAGGTAAGCCTACAAAGGCCTTTGTAATAATGTGGTTACTAGAATAAATACCATTAAAAATGCCTTCTGAGTACACTTGAAACTTTCCTGTTACATGGTATAACCTTAATTGTGCTTTTGTTTTGGATAAAACCTCTTTTAAAAGAATTATTTAATTTTATTATTATTGATATATTTTAAAAATAATTATTTATTCATTTAATTTCATTTGTTACTGTTATGTTTAAAATTTGACCAGAGAGAGAGAAAGGGAAAGTGGGAGAACAAGCTACCAGGTTTGAGACTCAAACTGTGGTTGGATATGTGGGAATCTAGCACCTTAACCACCACGCCACCTGTTGGCCCCCATTATTGATATTTTTTAATCTGACCAGAAAAAGAGAGGGAAAGTGAGAAAGTAAGCTGCCAGGTCTGAGATTTGAACCATGGTCAGCCATGTGGAAGTCTAGTGCCTTAACCACCACGCCACCTGCTGGCCCCTGGATAAAACATTTTGTGCTTTAACCTTCGTTTGCTTCTAGAAATCTAGAACGTGATAAAATACAAAACAAGACTTTAGTAATAAAAAGACTTCTAGGCAACAAAACTAAGAATTTTCTTAAATTGCATTTCTGAATATTCTAAAAAATTTTCAACATTTTCTTTTTGTAGATGAAAGAAATTAAGTTCCAGGATAGGAAAGTGACCTATTCCAGTTAAATTATTCATTATGTTACCCCACAACATGAGGAATATATAAAAATAAAAATGGATATATCATTATTAAATTGAACATGAGGTAGTCACTTTTTTTAAATCAGGGATCTCAGGAGCCCAGACCACACCCTCAGGGCAGCAAGCCCTCTCTGCCTCCCCATACTTTTTTTTTTTTTTTCTTTTTTAAAGTTTCCTATAGGGTATGTGTGTTCACCAGAGAGAGAAAGGAAAAAAGTGAGAAAGCACCCTTCCAGGGAAATGGCCATGCCACAATCCCTTCTCCTCTATTCTCCTGTTGGGATTTTGGGCACACATACACATGAGCCCAGTATGGGTTTTTTTTTTTTTTTGCTATAGGGCATGTGCGCTCGCCAGAAAGAGACAGACGGAGACAGAAAATGAGAAATCATCCCCCGCCCCCAGGGGGGATGGCCACACCGCAATCCCTTCTCCATTGTCCTCTTGATCTTGGGCACACTCGCATACATGCCCGGCGTGAGTTTAAGCCACCAGGTCCGGGACTCGAACTGTGGTCAACTACATGGGACTCCAGTGACATAGGCATAACTGCTGGTCCCAGCCCAGTGTGGTTTTCAAGCTTCTGGGTCCAGGACTTGAACTCCATAGTCAACCATGTGGAATCCAGCCACCTTAACCTCCATGCCACCTGCTGACCCTGGAGTAGTTACTCTTAACTAATACAAAGTAGAAGGAAATCAAGAAAAATGACATGCCTGAAGTCTTTTGGTAGAAACTATTTCAGTTAGTCGCACACCAACCCTTTCTCAATAAAGAAAAGATAACCTCTTGGCTTTTTTTTTTGGAGAGTTTTTGCATATCGGGTGTGTGTGCTCACTGGAAAGGGAGAGAGACAGAGACAGAAAGTAAGAAATCACCCCCAGGAGGGATGGCCACACTGCAATCCCTTCTCCTCCATTCTCTTAGGATTTTGGGCACACACACACGCACACACACACACATACACACGTGCCTGGCGTGTTGAGCCACCAGGTCTGAGACTGGAATTGCGGTTGACTATGTGGGAGTCCAGCAATGTAACCATTACATCATCTGCTGGTCCAACTTCTTGGTGATTTTAAAAGGTTGGGGAGGAGAGGTGGGATGCTAACTCACCTTAGATCACACAAACATCACACCAAACTGCTTGATAAAATGAACCCAAGGCTGAAGTGTTACAGTCTCTGATTTTAATGACGGCTATTCTCAAGGGAAACTCGAGATCTTCATTGCTGCCCAGCTACCACAGTATCTCTTGCCCCAGAGTTCAGTGTGACTTTTGTTATGGTTTGCTATAGGGTGTGTGTGCTCATCGGAGAGAGACACAGAGAGATATAAAGTGAGAAATCACCTACTAGGGGGGATGACCACGCTGTAATCCCCCTTCTCTCTGGATTTTGTGCACGCATGCGCATACACCCAGCATGTTTTTCAGGCCGCTGGGTCTGGCACTGAACCATGCAGTTGGCCATGTGGAATCCTGCCACCTTAACCACCATACTACCAGCAGGCCCCAGTGTAATTTTCTTACACTAGTTTGTTTCCTGGTTCTGTTCCTCGTCCCACCATGTTGCACCAGTCTCATATCCATGCAGGATGCCCTCTGCTGAGTTCTGCCCTGAGGTATTTCTCCTGTTCTGGCTGAGACCACTCATGATCACAGTATCATCTGAGGAGGAAGGCGTATGCTGGAGGCAGAATGTGCTACTGCAGCATTGCGTTTGTTAAAAAAACAATAGGTCCTGGTCCCTTCCATTCTTTTCCCTTATATCCAAACTTCGACATACTCTCCCAGTATGTATCGGCATGAATTCAAGGTGCCATATGCTTCTCTGGTGCCTGTTTGTGAGCTAGATAGAGGAACAGTATGCTGGAGAGTGCGCTGACCAGGAAGATCACATCAAACCAATGGTGATAGAAGTTGAACTGCAGTTCTCCAAGGACTTCAGTGATAATGGTGCGGTATTCTAGTGGCATACTCATGCGGATTAGCAGCACCGAAGAGACGAAGTACATGCCCTGCAAGGCAAACACAGTAATCTGGAAGTTACTTTGAATGTGGTAAGGAACAGTTCAAAGGAAATTGTTTCTTTTTTTTAAGAGAGATTTTTGCTATAGGGCATGTGTGCTCACCAGAGAGACAGAAAAGTGAGAACCTCCCTCCAACACTGTGGTGGGGCTTGGCCATGCTGCAATCCCTTCTCCTCCAGTCTCCTCTCGGGATTTTGGGCAGACATGCACACGCCCGGTGTGAGTTTTAAGCTGCCGGGTCTGGTACTCAAACTGCAATTGGTTATATGGGAATCCAGCGACATAACCATTCTGCCATCTGCTGGTCCCAAAGGAAATTGTTACAATATTTAAAAGTATAAAACACATTTCTGGATAGGGAGATGTTAGTTAATGGATCCAGATAGGAGGAATAAGTTCTAGAGTAAAGTGCGTTCTTTTTATTTCATGAGAGAAGAGAAAGATACACAGGCATTCTCCATGGGAACTCAATATGCCGTGATTTCCCCTGCCCAGCCTGCCAGGATCTGATCCTGGGCCTCCCATATGGCTCCAGTATCACGCAGTAGTATCCTACCCCCAGTGCCACAACTGGGCCTACTGTCTACTTCAAGATAGCTAGAAGAGATTTTAAATGCTCCTAATACAAAGCAGTAACAAATGTTGAGGGGATATGCAGGTTACACTGAGGTGATCGTAACACATTGTATTCACACACTGAACAACCATACCGTACGTACCCTATAAGTACGTACAATTGTTTTGTCAATTAAAAATAACAGAATTTGAGCTGGCTCTGTGCTTTTCAAGAGAGGCCAGATCCTGCAGTGACCGGAGTTTGAATCCCTGGCCCAGTGAGCCTGAAACCTGCCAGGCACATGCAGAGTACTAAGCTGATGGGCTAGAGGAAGAGGATACAGCGTGACTGTACCCTGTGGACAGTGTTGCCCTCTCTCCCTCCACATGCACACATACTACCATGAAAAAATTAAAAAAAAAAAAATGTAAGTTAAAAACACACACTCTGGGGCCAGTAGGTGGCATGGTGGTTAAGGTGCTGGATTTCCACATGGCTGACCACAGTCTGAGTCCTGGACCTAGTGGCTTAAAAGTCACACCAGGCACGTGTGTGCATGTGCTCAAAATCCCAGGAGAAGAATGGAGGAGAGGGGACTGCAGTATGGCCGCCCCGCTTGCGGGGTGATTTCTTACTTTCCTTCTATCTCTCTCTGGCAAATGTACATGCCCTATGGCAAAACCCTAAAAACAAAACCGAAAACACACACTTCCACTGTAAACGTAAAAGTTGTTAAACTTACCATTATCTGTGCTAATAGCAGGACAATAACATTGGAGGACTTACTGCTGGAGATGGCATAAAAGAACTGTAAAAAAAGGGGAAGAGAGATGAATTTATGCAGTACTCCTTGATTCCTATGTCAAAAACAAAAATAGACATGGTTAATATTTAACTAAAAGTGTCTTTTCTGGGCCAGCCTGTGGTGTGGTAGTTAAGGTGGCTGGATTGCACATGGCCAAATCTGCTGTCCGAGTCCTGGATCGGGCTGCTTGAGAAACTTGCCAGATACATGTGCATGCATGCCCAATATCCTGAAAGGAGAAAGAAATGGAGGAAAAAGGATTGTGGCATGACCATGGGGTGGGGAGGGGGAAACGCTTTCTTGCTTTCTCTCTGTCTCTTTCCAGTGAGTGAATGTGTCCTCTGGCTTCTTTTCCATACCACCGACTATATAGAATAATTGACAAGATTATGCCTACAGAGAAGAGACTTAAAATAGACTAGTGAAAAACTTACAGACTTAGTTTCACCCTAAAGATAGAAGGTATTGGGATCAGGTAGTGTGGCAGTTAAGGTGCTAGATTCTCACATGGCTGACTATGATTCACATCCTGGACCTTGAAAATCATGCCGGGTGCGTGTACATGCCCAGAATCCTGAGGAGAGAAGGGACTGAGGTGCGGCTATCCTCCCTGGGGGTGATTTCTCACTTTCCCTTTCACTTCACTGTCTCTTTGGCAAGCACATGCACTCTAGGGCAAAAACCAAAAAAAAAAAAAAAAAAAAAAAAGTAAAAAATATAAAAGAAAGTTAGTTGATATTACTTAAACATAGGAAAGGATTTCTATTCTAGCATATTTCAGAAACTATGTGATGCATATGACTTTAATGTCACTATGAAACATTGTAACAGATTATTTCAGGCTACTCCAAGCATTTGTAATTGTTCCTAGGCTGCTAACTTCTTTCAAAAAAATCCAGAGGGGACCAGCAGTTAGTGTAATGGCTATGTCGCTGGACTCCCACATAGTCGACCATGGTTCGCGTCCCAGACCCGGTAGCTTAAAACTCACGCCGGGCGTGTGTGCGTGCGTGCCCAAGATCCTGAGAGGAGAATGGAGGAGAAGGGATTGCGGTGTGGCCATCCCCCCGGGGAGTGATTTCTTGCTTTCTGTCTCTCTCTGTCTGTCTGGCGAGCGCACGCGCCCTATAGCAAAAAAACCTCTCAAAAAAAAAAAAAAATCCAGATACATGAAGATACCTTTCCTTCTTTCATTAAAGCAGCTGTCCAGAGATCCTAGTCTCTTCTTTCATTCATGCAGCTCTCAGATCTTGGAATCCCTACCTCTTCTGTCACACAGGACAAACTTTTCTTTTTATTTTTAGAGAGATTTTTGCTATAGCGCGTGTGCACTCGCTGGACAGACAGAGAGAGAAAAGGCAAGAAATCACTACCCCCTCCCCCCCGGGGGATGGCAATGTCGCAATCCCTTCTCCTACATTTTCCTTTGAGGATTTTGGGCATGCACGGGCATGCACGCGCACGCGCCTGGCATGAGTAAGAAGCCACAGGGCCTGGGACTCCAACCTCGGTTGACTATGTGAGAGTCCAGTGACGCAACCATTATGCCATCTGCTGGTACTGAGGACTCACTTTTCCACTTCATGAAGACTTCCTGTGCTGCCAGAAAACAGCAGGATATTCTGCCCCTTTATTCCTTATCTTTTGTACAAACGACTCTTTTAACCTCAAATATCTGACTCATTTATTTATTCCAAACACCTGGTGTGCACTTACCAAGTGCCAGGTCTGATTCTAGATGCTGGTGACATCAGTGCACAAAACAGACCCTCATCTTATTTTCTTGCCTTTGGGAAATATACTTATCTATTAGGATCTCAAGAGGAGAAAGCTTATTTTTTAAAATTATTTATTTCATTAATTATGGTTTTTAAAAATTTGACCAGAGAGAGACAGAAAGAGAAAAAAGAAGGGAAAGTGAGAAAGCAAGCTGCCAAGACCAGGAGTTAAACTGTGGTTGACCATGTGGGAGCCCCGTGCCTTAACCACTATGCCACCTGCCAGTTCCAAGAAGAGATATCTTTTTTCTTTTTTGGGTGAGAGGTTTTCTTTATAGGGCACGTGTGCTCGCCAGACAGACAGAACGAGACATAGAGACAGAAAGCGAGAAATCACCCCCTGGGGGAATGGCCACGCCGCAATCCCTTCTCCTCCATTCTCCTCTCGGGATCTTGGGCACGCATGCACTCGCGCTCAGCGTGAGTTTTAAGCCACCGGGTCCAGGATGCAAACTGTGGTCGACTACGTGGGAGTCCAGCGACATAGCCATTACGCTAACTGCTGGTTCCCAAGAAGAGATATCTTAATTAGGTAAAATCATCTCATGGCAACATATGTCAACAGACAAAGAATAAGCACTTTTTACAAAAAATAATTATATATATATTTTTTGAGAGGTTTTTGCTATAGGGTGTGTGCGCTTGCTAGAAAGACAGAAACAGAGAGACAGAAAGTAAGAAATCACCCCCCTGAGGGGATGGCTACACCACAATCCCTTCTCCTCCATTCTCTTCTCAGGATCCTGGGCACACACGCCCATGCGCCTGGGGGGTCCAAGCCACTGGGTCTGGGACTTGAACTGCAGTCAACTACATGGGAGTCCAGCGGCATAGCCATTAGACCAACTCCTGGTCCCTATTTATTTAATTTTATTTGTTATTATTGTTTTAACAATTTGTTTTAGGGCATGTGTGTGTGTGTGAGAGAGGGACAGTGAGAGAGAGAGAGACAGAGAGAAGAGAATAAAGTGAGAAAGCAAGCCGCCAGGTCTGGGATTCGAACTGCAGTCAGCCATGTGGGAGTCCAGCACCTCAAGTACCACGTCACCTGCTGACCCCAAGACAGGTACTTTTTAACACTTTGCTACAACGTACCTTGGTAAGAGTGATGAGCAATCCTCTGATGGACGTGATGATGATTATTCCAACTAAAATGAAGGAAATGTGCTGGGACCAGAACTTCACCTGCCCGCAACAGAAAGAGCAAAGATCTGCTGAGTGTTCAGAGATATGAAAGTTGAAACGTACCCTGTTCATTCATTCCCTGTGAGAGGGAACTTCATTAGGAACCACTTGATTTTTATTTTTTAATAGTGAGCAAAGAAAATAAGTATAAAGGGTCTTCACAAAGTTCAAAGACAATGCATGTTATGAAAAAACTATTGGGACCAATGGTTGGCGTAATGGCTATGTTGCTGGACTCCCACGTAGTCGACCGCAGTTTCAGTCCCGGACCCGGTGGCTTAAACTCACGCTGGGCGCGTGTGCGTGCGTGCTCAAGATCCCAAGAGGAGAATGGAAGAAAAGGGATTGCAGCATGGCCATCCCCCTGGGAGGTGATTTCTCGCTTTCTGTCTCTCTGTCTCTGTCTTTCTGGCGAGTGCATGTGCCCTATAGTAAAAACCTCTCAAAAAAAGAAAAGAAAAAAACTGAGCATGGATTTCAAATTTTTGCATAAACATAAACTCATATTTATTTCCATTTTCCATGAACTTTCTGAGGCTCCCTCACTAGATGGTGAATAAAACACATATAGGAAGACTGCATTGAATACATTAATTAGCAGTCTTAACCAAACCTTAAAGACCGGAGAAAGTAGACCAGCAAAGCCATTAAGGCAGCAGGGTCCCACATGGCTGATTGCACGGTTTGAGTCCCTTGCAAATTATACTGTGTGTATGTGTGTGTGTGCGTGTGTGTGTGCGCTGCCCCCAAATCCTGAGAGGAAATGAAGGAGGACTGCAGTGTGTCCACCTTGTCTGGGGCGAGGCATTATTTCTCATCCCCCCACCCTTGCTGATGAATGCATGTGCCCCATAAAAAAAAAAGAAAGCAAGTATATTGAAGTGAGGAAAATAATACTAATAAATGAGAAAAACTCAGGGCTAATGCTAATTGCTTTATAATGGTAAGTGAAAATCAGGGATAAAAATAAAACTACTTAGTAGCTTGATGATGATCATTTCTATTTTTTTTTTTTTTTGAGAGGTTTTTGCTATAGGGCATGTGCGTCACCAGACAAAGACAGAGAGACAGAAAGTGAGAAATCACCCCCCAGGGGTGGATGGCCATGCCGTAATCCCTTCTCCTCCATTCTCCTCTTGGGATCTTGGGCATGCACATACACGTGTCCAGTGTGAGTTTAAGCCACGGGGTCCAGGACTGGAACTGTGGTCGACTACATGGAGTCCAGCAACATAGCCATTACGCCAACTGCTGGTCCCGGTGATTATTATTTTTTTGATTGTCTTTTAACTTTTGAAGTATTCATTTACTTAATTTTATTTGTTATTATTATTTTTTAATTTGACCAGAAAGAGTGAGAATTGGAAAGTGAGAAAGTAAGCTACCCGGGTCTAGGACTCAAACCATGGTTGGCCAGGTGGGAGTCTTTAACTTTAACCACGTTAACTACAATGCCACCTGCTGGCCGCAGCTTGGTTATTTTTAATATGTATGAATAATTACATATTATTTTTAATACATATGAATATGTTCTCTGATCACCTGAAACTTCAGAGAATTTTTCTCTTCTTTAAAAACAAAAATGTCATATGGTGCATGTGCTCACTGGAGAGAGAAAAAGAGAGAGAGTGAAAGGCACGCTCATGGGGAATAGTCATGCTGCAATCCCTTCTCACTTCTCTCTCCTCTTGGGTTTTTGGGCATGCACACACACATGCTCAGCGTGTTTCTCTAGCTGCTGAGTCCAGACCTTGAACTGCATGGTTGGCCATATGGGATCCAGCCACCTTAACCACCATGCCATGGTATAGCCCTAATTTTTCCTTTTAGAGTAAAAGAATATACAGACACCTTCAACTCCATTCTAGGAAATAACTGAACTTCATTCGAACCACAGGATGACACCTCTTTCTCTTGTTGCATTGCTTCTTAGTGAGAAGCAGTTTGGGAACCCTGTGCTTGACTGACTTCTGAAAAGTACTGCAGGGGAGTGGCTATTATTACTACCCAGAAGGTTTCCTATTCAAAATTATTAAATATGGAGCATACAGATGAATTATAGATGGAACACACATATACCAATTAGAAAGCACTGACAAGGACAAACACTTCTTTTACTTTTTCCTTTTTCCCATAGGGTGTGTGTGCTTTCTGGAGAGACAGACAGAGGGAAAGTGAGGAGTCACCCTGCAGGAGGGAAGGCCATGCCACAATCCATTCTCCTCCATTTTCCTTTTGGAATTTTGGACACATGCACACATGTTTGGAGTGTTTTTTTTTTTGAGAGGTTTTTGCTATAGGGCACGTGCGCTTGCCAGACAGACAGAAACAGACAGAGAGACAAAAAGCAAGAAATCACCCCCTGGGGGGATGGCCACACTACAATCCCTTCTCCTCCATTCTCTTCTTGGGATCTTGGGCACGCACACACACACGCCTGGCGTGAGTTTTAAGCCACCAGGTCTGGGGTGTGAACCGCAGTCGACTACATGGGAGTCCAATGACATAGCCATTACGCTAACTGCTGGTCCCATGCCTGGAGTGTTTTTTAAGTCACTGGGTCTGGAACTCAAAGTGCAGAGTAGGCTGTGTAGGATCTAGTGCCTTAACTCCCATGCTACCTGTAGGCCCAGGAAGAATTTCTAAAAATTCAGAGCAGTAAAAAAAAAAAAAAAAAAAAAAAAAAAATTAAATGAAGAAAACATGTATGCAACAATAGCAAATGAAACATGATATAATTTACACACTAGAAGATACTATGCCCCTTCATATCCAAAAAGAGCATGTGGAGAATAGTTCATGTGAAAACACGTGATAAAACATGTGGCCTGTAGACACATGCAGAAACGCGTTTTTGTAAGTTACTTTAGTAGGGCTACTGAAAAGTATTTATATATGAAAGTAGTATTTGTTTGTTGTTAATGGTTGTTTTTTGTTGTTGTTGTTAATACTTAATATGTTGATACTGTCCAGTATTGGGCTAAAGGAAGTTATATACGTTTATTAAATTGTACCCCCACAAAAAATTTAAAAAATTATATGGCGCTAGTCATTTTCACATTAACAACAGGAAGACAACCATTGACAACAGGCAGATACTGCTTTCCTATGTAGATGCTTTTCAACAGCCCTGCTAGAGTAGCTTACGGAAGTACGTTTCTGCATGTGTCTACAGGCCACATGTTTTAATCACATATTTTCAGATTGGCTGCTCTCCACAGAGCATATTAAATGTATATTTTTTAAAATTGCCAGAGAATGTGTACAGTAGTCAGAGAGAAACAGGGAGAGGGAGAAGGAATCCCACAATGGTCCATTGTCATACCACAATCCCTTCTCCATTTCTCCATCCTGTTGGGATTTTGGACATGCACACTCACTTGCCTGTATGGTTTTAAGCTACAGTGCCAGGATTTGAACCACTATCAGCCATGTAGGATCTTGCTCCTTTAGTCACTAGGCTACAGGGCTGGTCCAAATGATACACTATTGATCTAGCATCAAAATATATGTTTTAGGGAGCCAGCAGGTGGCATGATGGTAAGGCATTAGAGTCCCGCACAGTTGATCACAGTTTGAGATGACCCTGTAGCTTGAAAATCACACTGGGTGCATGTGCATGCATGCCCAAAATCCCAAGAGGAAAATGGAGAAAGGGTTGAGGAGAGGTCAACCCCCCTGGGGGGGGATGATTTCTCACTTTCCCTCTCTCTGTCTCTCTCTGGCAAGCACTCATGCCCTATGGCAAAAACAAAAACAAAAACTACACACATACACACACGTACTTTGTAACATTCCAGGCACATATGCAAGTGTGCCTAAAATCTTGAGACGAGAATGGAGAAGTGATTGTAGCACACAACTAAATGGTCCACACTGTGGACTAAAATTGTGACACTGAACTTATCATCAAAGTACTATTCAGCCAGAGTCACTGGCCATATGTATATCTAGAAAATTTACTATTCTATGTAAAAAGATAGGGGGAGGCTGGCCTCTGTGGTGCAGTGATAATGCATTGCTCAGGAGAAGCTGGATCCCACACGGTATCCCTGAGATGCCCTGGGCACACACGAGTTCCCAAAATCTAATGGCCTGGAGGACTGGAAGAAGGGACTATGGTGTGACCAGTCCCTGTGGAGGATGCTCATCTCTCTCTCTCACTCTCATGTGTGTGCATAAGCTCGTATCATAAATGTTTTTAAAAATTGGGGCAAGGGTGTGTGTTTAAGAGCATGATATCATAAAACCATAATGCCACTCTGTTTTTTTTTTTTTTAAGAGAGAGATTTTTGCTATAGGGTGCATGCACTCACCAGAGATAGAGAGAGAGAGACAGGAAGATAGAAAGTGAGAAATCACCCCCCAGGGGGTATGGACACGCCTCAGTCCCTTCTCTTCCATTCTCCTTTCGGGATCTTGGGCACGCATGCACATGCGCCTGCCATGAATTTTAAGCCACCGGGTCTGAGACTCAAAGCATGATTGACTAGTGGGAGGCCAGTGACATAGCCATTATGCCATCTGCTGGTCCCTCTCTGTTTTTTTTTAGGGGGCCAGCAGGTGGCGTTGTGGTTAAGGCACTGGACTCCCACATAGCCAACTACAGTTTGAGTCCTGGACCTGATGGCTTTGTTTCTTACTCTCTCCACCTGCTCCCATCTGTCTCTGGTTGAATAAAAATAATAATAAATAAAATTAAATAAACAATTCTTTTAAAAAAGCCTCAACTTTGTGCACAGGTGATAGTTACCATCTTCAGTGCAAGATCCATATCAATTAATCGATAATTTCTTACAAGAGAAATCATTTCAACTCTTTTAAAATTTTTTTTAATATTTTAATTTGCTGTAGGGCACGTGTGCTCATGAGAGACAGTGAGACAGAGTTAAAGTGAGAAAGCAAGTCTCCGGGTCCAGGACTTGAACTGAAGTTGGCCATGTGGGAGTTTAGCACTTTAACCACCATCCCTACTTCTGGCCCTCATTTTAGCTCTAACATGGAACACTAATTAGCAGTTCATTTTCTTTCTTTTTTTTTTTCTTTAGTAGTTCATTTTCTACTACAGGAATCAAAGATGAGTTGTGTGATTTTTTTTAAAAATAATTCATTTCATTTTATTTATCATTATTATTATTGCTTTAATTTGACCAAAGAGAGACAGAAAGAAAGAGAGGGAAAACAAGAAAGCAAGCTGCCAGGTCTGGGACTCAAACTGTGGCTGGCCATGTGGGAGTCACACATTAACCATCAAGCCACCTGCTGGCCCTATGTGTGTGTACATGTGTGTATTTAAATATTTCTTTATTTTTCTGTTGAGATATTCAAGCCACGGGGTCCAGGTCTCAAACAACAGTCAGGCATGTGGGAATCCAGCACTCTAACCACTACAGAATCTGCTGGCCTGGTGAGCTGTGTTTTTGAAGAGCTCATCAAGTATCACAGAGAGAAATACAGGAATACTTGGTAGGGAGAAACTGCGAAAGTGTGGCACAGAGAAGCAGAGGAAGAACTGTAGAGATAATCAGCATCCATGACAGTAAGAAATTTCAGTCATGGGGGGCGGCAGGTGGCATTGTAGTTAAGATGGCTGGACTCCCACATGGCTGACTGCAGTTCAAGTCTCGGACCTGGCAGCTTCCTTTTTCACTTTCCTTCTCTCTCGCTATCTCTCTCTGGTCAACTTCAAAAAATTAAAAATATAAAATAATGACAATGAATAAAATTAAATTAAAAAATAATAATTCTTTAAAAGAAAAGAAACACCAGTCATGTCTTAGGGGTTTTAGGCTGAGAAAGAGAATCCTTGCCTTTTACAAATTTGCCATGTGACTATGGCAAATTATACAAAGGAGAGTGAAGGTAACAAAAGCAGAAACAACTACTTAAAATATGGGAGTCAGAACTTTAACAATGATAAGTTTTGATAGATAAACCAGAAAGAAACATAGCAAACCAGGATCTTGATATAACTCTTACATCAAATTGTATTCCCAGATAATTCACAGTGATCTCAATGCCTCTGGTAACAGGATCAGTTTTTCCAACTCGATCAAAAACAATATTGATGGTTGCCTGTAGAGACACAGATCTTTAGATTGAGTATCTTATCAAACACTATTGAAAAAGTGATTCAAAATTAAGAAATAATTGCTACAATATATCTTACAGGTTGATATACCTAAAAATGCAATTCTACTCTCGATCCAAATAATATATTAGAGATCTATTTTGGCTCCTTGTGCAAAGGCAAATAAAAGCTTTTGTGTAAAGGGTCAAAAGCTATGGCATGAGTCTTAATTTATTAGGAGCCAGAATGGACATTCTAGTAGATGAAATCGGAGTAAGATAATTAAAGAATTCCATGGTCGTTCCCTTCTTTATTCTTTTGAGAGGGATTTTTTTTTTTTTTTGCTATAGGGCATGTGAACACTCTGGAGAGACAGAGAATGACAGGAAGTTAGAAATCAGCCCCCGGGGGAATGACCATGCTGCAATCCCTTCTCCTCCATTCTCCTCTCAGGATTTTGGGTATGCACACACACTTGCCTAGCATGAGTTTCCAGCTGTCGGGTCCAGGACTCGAACCATGATCAACTACATGGAAGTTGAGCAACATAACCATTATGCCATCTGCTGGTCCCACCCTTGGTTATTTTCTAACTGCTCTAAGAGCAAAGGCTAAAATAACACAAAAGGAGTTATAGCTAACAGCCACCAAACATCAAATGGAATTATAAAAAACAATCAATAAGGTAGCTTTTTTTTTAAAAAGTTTTTGTCACAGAGAGAAGGAATGTGAGAAATCACGTGGTAGGGTGGGAGGTGGCGCCACCTGCTGGACTCCCACATGGCCAACTGCGGTTAGAGTTCAGGAGGACCTGGTGGCTTGAAAATCACGCTGGTGTGTGTGCCCAAAAATCCTCAAAGGAGGCTGGGATTGAGAAGGGATTGTAGCATGGCCATCCCCTCTGGGAGCTGATTTCTCACTTTCCCTCTCTCTGCCTCTCTCTGGCCCGTGCACACGCCCTATGGCAAAAATGTAAAAAACAAAAAAAGTCATCTGAATGGTACTGGCATCAATTTATTACAACATTTTAGACCTATTAAATCCAAAATCCCTTGTTCATCTATAATGACAAAAATTAACTAATGAGCTGACAAAGCTCTACGCCATGTAAATACAGCCCCCAGTGGGAAAGTTATCAAACCAGGAAGTCAAATCAGCCTTTTCTATAAAGACATTGAAGTCCATTAATATTGCAGATGCAAGTAAAGGCAAAGAAAAGGTGCATGAAATGTGCATAAACAAAGAAGAAAATATTAAGGGAAAGCCATAAAAGAATAGCTATAGCACAGAATCGGAATACATTTTAGAATTTATGTTGCACCTATTTTTAGGTGTAGAAATTGGTAAAAGGGACATGCAGCCTCTGCTCTGAGCTGACAGTATGAGTTGCGGCTAAATATCTACCACAGGTAACACTGACAGCAGAATGTAAAATAAGCAACTCTCATCTTCATTCCATACATTTCTAAATATAAGTCCTCATTCATGATTTCTGAGAGAAAAAAAAATGCAACCCCTTTTTCTAGGTCTTCTTAAAAGGAGAGGGTGAAAGAGTGAGGTTCAGAGATGTGAACGGTCATGCTATTGACTCAAATGAGTGTGGAGTTTAGCTCAACGTATGAGTCAAGCCCACTCTTATCACCCTGCCATTATCACAGAAAATCACCTGAACCTTGACAGTTAAATATAAAATATACTTACCATAAAAATTTTCCAAACACAATAAATAGAGAAAAAGTAACCAAGAAAATTAAAATATTTCCCCTTGAAAGTTTTGGAGTATTCTATTCTCTCCTGAGGGAAAACAAACATAAAACATGAGTTATCTCAGCAAAACGCATATTTATATTCAATAAAAAGTAGTCTTCCCCCTGAATCACTGGCCAGGCTGAGTCAAAAACCACACACGGTAGTATTAACTAATTAAATAGTAATTATTGGGTTACTAGAAAAGTCATATCGTAGTTTTCTATGCAAAAATGCATCATGACTTTTCCAACAACCCAATAATTAGTACTGATAATAATATTACCATGCTATATAATACTAGCAGTAGTGGCCAACATTTGTGAAATGCTTGCTTTAAGCCAGAGTCTGAGATAAGTATATGCATTATCTACTTTATCTTCAAAACAACTCTTAAGAGGTAGGTTCTATTTTCTTAATTTTACAGATGAGAAAATTGAGGCTTAAAGAGGTTAAATAATTTGCTCGATGTCACAAGGATGGTGACTCAGGTCTATCTCTAAAGCATATGTTAACCTTTATGTTACATGACTGCATCTGTGAAGTTATCGTAAAAAGGATTAAGACGGTTTGCAGTCTTCGTTAATAGAGTCTGCACAGTTAGATTACATTACATATTAGGGGTTTACAGGGAAGTTAGTTCTTACAGCTAATATAGTTCCTGATCTGAATCCCTTAAAGCAGGGCTAGACCATGCGAGACAGGTGTTTGCTTCTGTTTCAATATTACTAACTTGTAAGGGAGTTAAAAGGCATCCGAGGGGCTACTGTCTCGACCCAGGTCCTTAGGAAGCAGCATGTTAAAAAGCCTCTGCTGCCTACCCCACCAATTCCTATCACTGAGAGTGTTCCATTAAGGACTTCATTAATGACAGGATCTTATGAACAGTGCAAATGCCTCTTCTCTAATGCTTCCTGGCTGATATTGAAGCTGCGAGTGTCACTTGCATTGCTTGGCCACAGAGGATGTTAAAACGCTGAATAGTCTGGCTCTCTCTTAGACTGTATTGGTAAAAACCACACATTAGTTTCCTTGTTCTGTACCTTGGTGGCATACAGATCAGCTGTTTCCAGAAAAAGCTGCCTGCTTAGTTCTTCCAAAGCATCCACTTCCTGTTGAATAAGAGTAAGATCTGGCACAAAACGGGCATCAAGGTTTAAATCATGTAGAAATGTCAAGAAATGGCAATGGAGGAAGCATATGCTTTTGATTTCTCCTTTGTGTCCCAAGAATTGCCTGTCTTTTCAATTCCTTGCTTCACAGGCAGCACTGCTACTTCGGAGCTATTTTCCCAGCCTCTGACACAGGTGTGTAAAAGCTTCTCCACCGAGTGTCACCCCCAAACACGGCCACTCAGTTTCTCCCAACTCAAGTGGCTCAGACAGATGGTTTTATTTATTTTTTAATTTATCTAGTTAAAGTAAGTATAATTTTCAAGATAATAAATGGTTAATAAGACTTATAATAAAGCATAGTTTTCTCCTATAATATCTGAATAAATAAATAAATGTCAGGAAAGGGGACTAATATTTGCTGAGTTCTAATATAGGCTGGGATTTATAGATACCACCTTCAGTTCTTTACAAACATTATTTGCTTTTATTCTCACAACCATCCCACGAGAAAGAATGGTGTTATTATCCATTTTGCAGATAAGGAAAGTGAAGCTCAGAGAATTCGAACACTTGCTCAAAGTCACACAGCCAATATGTGTAGGTGGAGTCAGGTCTGCCTTACTCCAGGACCTGCTCTTTTCTACTACAGTACGCTATTTCCCACGGACTCAATAAGGCAGTGTTATTATTCTCCCTACTTCAGAAACGGGCTTAGAGTAGTTAAATAATCCTGGTGTGTTTGTTGACTTGCCACTGCCAAACCTACACTAATGGCTCTCATGGGCTTCTAAGTAATGAAAATATAGCCTCTTCAACAACAGAAACATCGACTTTGATCCACATTTCTCCTCTCTGTGATTTTCCCCACCATTACCCAAATCAGCAAGTACCCTTCAGTTCCTTCCTCAACAGTGACTACTACTGGCACGGCCCAGGCGTGGTCCAAACACCACCATTTAAACCGGTTACATGTCTGCCTCTCTATGACCCGATGGTGAGCTATAACTGATCCTTCATTTTATGCCTTAGCATTTTGCCTGGAAATAGGAGATGTGAAATAAGTATGTCTTGGTTAAAGGAATCTAAATTCAACCTTTGTTTCTCTTTCACAATCTTCCTGTCTTTCTGTTTTTTTTTTTTTTTTCTTCTTTTTTGAGAGGTGTTTGCCTTAGGGCACATGTGCTCGCTGGAGAGAGAGACAGAGTCAGAGTGAGGTAAATCACCCCCCAGGGGTATGGCCACATTACAATCTCTTCTCCTCTATTCTCCTGGAATCTTGGGCACACATGCACATGTGCCCGGAGTGATTTTTTACCACCAGGTCTGGGACTTGAACCACAGTTGGCCATGTGGGAGTCCAGTGACATAACTGCTACGTCACTGGACTCCCACATGGCCCCCAGTCTTATTCTCATCTGCATTTAACACTGGAAGCACAGACATCAAAATTTATAGTGAGAATAGACCACATCCTTCTTCTCCGACTGAACGAAAAGGGAATTTGTACTTCCCTGGGCCAAAAAGTAAACGGGAAGATGCTGTTGCATGCCCTGTCCCCCAAAATGTTGATCCAGTAGCTTGGGAGCCTCACAGAGCTTTGGTTATCTGGTTTGGGAATTAGTTCAACACCATAACCAGCCGGGCCAAGAACAATCTACTTAAACCAAATAGTCACTGGAAAGGCAGACCTCCTTAAAATTTGTTTATGAATACTAATTGCTTTAGAAATGGGCCATTACCGGGACCAGCAGATGGTGTAAAGGTTATTTTGCTGGACTCTCACATAGTTGATCGCAGATCAAGTCTTGGACCCAGTGACTTAAAACTCATGCCAGGTGTGTGTGCGTGCATGCCAAAGATCCTTAGAGGAGAATGGTGGAGAAGAGATTGTGGCATAGCCATCCCCCTGGGGGGTGATTTCTTGTTTTCTGTCTCTGTTTGTTTCTCCAGCAAGCGCATGTACCCTATAGCAAAAATCTCTCTCCAAAAAAAAGAGAAATGGGTCCTTACTATCCTACGTACAAAGCATCCAGCAAGCCATCATGCTCTGTGGTGGGTTAAAAATATTATTTAATTTATTATCATTATTATTTTAAATTTAATGAGAGAGGGAGAAAGTGAGAAGAAAGCCACCAGGTCTGGGACTTTTTTTTTTTTTTTTTTTTTTTTGTAGAGGTTTTTGCCTTCAGGCCCATGTGCTCACCAGAGAGAGCAACAGTGAGAGGGAAAGTGAACCCAGGGCCAGGGGGATAGCCTCACTACAATCCCTTCTCCTCCATCCTCCTCTTGGGATCTTTGGCATGCACACACATACCTAGTGTAAGTTTCAAGCCACCAGGTCCAGGACTTGAATTGTGGTTGGCCATGTGGAAGTCCAGTGATGTAAATGCTATGCTATCTGCTGGCCCTCAGGTCTGGGACTAAACTCCAGTTAGCCATGTGGGAGTCCAACACCTTCCTACCACGCCACCTGATAGTCCCATGTGGTGGTTTCTCAGAGTTAGGAAATATAATAGTGTAGTGGAAAGAACTATGAAAGAGGAGACCACAGTTCTGTTCCTAGATTTGCCACAAACCACGTTGTGACTTAAACTCTCTGGGTTTATTTTCTCATCTATAAAATGGAAAGACTGACTTCACGATCTTCTGTGGGTGTTGGAAAAACAACTCTGCACACACTGTATTTCCTAAGCCTACCCCTAGTCAGTTTGGATTCTGATATAGCCAGGTACTTATAAGGGACTATCTCAACACTACTATTTTCTTTGGCCCTTGGTCCAGAGTGGAGAAAAAGAATCAACTAGAGGGACAAAGGATACTTTCGCTTCCTGGTGCTGAAGTGGTGACACTCTTTATCATTCCCCAGAATCCTGACGGTTTGTTATGCACCTCCCCTTTCTGGAACATAGTTCTCCGTGCCATTGCCATCCTGAAATGAAGAAAATATAAAACCTAAGCAAGGAAGCTTAGACCCTCAGAGTCTCATCTATTCCACTTTCTAATCTCAAAACTGCCTCTCTCATTTGCTGATTTGTTCAGGATGCTGGCTGTGGAATCCCACTTTTCTGCCACTGACAACCTGGGGGAAACTATGTGGAAGCAATGTGGCCCAGGTGTAAAAGCACAAAATTTGTCATTCTTGGCTTTTTTTTTTTTTTTTTTTTTTTTTTTTCAGATTTTGCAATGGGGTGAATGCACTCACTGAAGTGAGACAGAGAGAAAGGGAAAGTGAGAAATCATTCTTCAGGGGAGATCGCCAAACCTCAATCCCTCTTCTCCACTCTCCTCCTGGGATTTTGGGCACACACACACTCACGCACACACACACGTGTCTGGTGTGTTTCTCAAGCTGCCAGGTCCAGGACTCAAACTGCGGAGTGAGCTATGTGAGATCTCGTGCCTTAACTGCCATGCCAACTGCTGGTCTAAGAAGCACAGAATTTGGAGTAGGCAATAAATTTGTGGACTGATTCTGCCATTAGAACTGTGAAACCTTGGGGCTGGCAGGTGGCGTGGTGGTTAAGGGTGTTGGATTACCACTTGGCCAACTGCAGTTTGAGTCCTGGACTTGGCGGCTTGCTTTCTCACTTTCTCTCTCTCTCTCTCTCTCTCTGTCCCTCTCTGGGCAAATTAAAACAAATAAATAAATAAATAAAGTTAAATAAAGTAATTCTTTAAAGAAAAAGAAAAAGAACTGTGAGATCTTAGAGTTTTCATTTTATCATCTCTGAATTGTTGTGAAGATTAATGATGAACAATATATAAGAACTCATGCTGTCAACCTAAAGTATTATATGTATGTTAATAATTATTACAGTTGGGACCAGCATATGGCATAATGGCTACATCAATGGACTCCCTTTAGTTGACTGCAGTTTAAGTCCTGGACCTGGCAGCTTAAAACCAGGTGTGTGTAGTGTGTGCTCAAAATCCCGAGAAGAGAAAGGAGTAGAAGGGATTGCAGTGTGGCCATCCCCCCAGGGGTGATTTCTCACTTTCTGTCTGTCTCTGTCTCTCTAGCAAGTGCATGTGCCCTATAGCAAAAATCTCTCTTAAAGTAATGATGATGATGATGATGATGATGATGATGATGATGATGATGATAATTACGGTTGCCATTTAAGGACAAATAAAATAGCTAACACATCAAGCTAAAGGACCAGGTAGAGAGTAAGTCAATTGATGTTTCCTTTAGTCCTTCTTTTTCAAAAGCTGACAAATGCAGGAAAAATCATATAAACCTAGCCCCTTTTAAAACATTAGTTTCCGAGGACAACTAAAGATCTTCTGCCCAGACTTCACCCTCCTACCCCCCTGATCTAGCCAGGACAAGCCAATCACTAGCTGTTTATGATTTGAAAGAGGAAATATACACTCTAAAAAAGAATCAAATGGAATTGTTAGAGATGAAGGCTGCAATACAGGAAAAACTTCCCTTGAAAATATTAAAAGCAGATTAGATCATGCAGAAGATTGAATCTCAGATGTAGAAAACAGAACCTCTAACCTAGAAAAATTCACCAAAAATACTGAGAAAATAACAAAAAAAAAAAAAAAAGAGAGAATAATATACAAGCAATACTAGAAACCATGAAATGCCCAAACATTTGAATAATCGGTATCCCAGAAGGTGAAGAAATTAATAAGGGCATTGATAATTCATTCCATGAAATTCTAGAAGAAAACTTTCCAAACCTAGAGAGGCACTCAAATATCCAGACTCAAGAAATATAAAGGACCCCACATAGAATCAACTCAAGAAGATCTTCTCCCAGGCACATCATAACCAGATTGACCAAAACTACAGACAGAGACAAGATATTAAAATTGGCAAGAGAGAAATGTCAAATTACTTTCAAAAGATATCCCATCAGGCTAACATTAGACCTCTCATCGGAAACAATGCAAGCAAGGAAAGAATGGGAAAATGCATTCAAAGTGTTAAGTGAAAAACAATTTCAACCAAGAATACTATACTCAGCAAGATTATCCTTCATATGGGAAAAAAAGACAAAAACATTCTCAGATAAACAAAACCTGAAAGAATTTACCAATATCAGACCAGCTCTCCAGGAAGTGCTGAAGGGAGTGCTATACCAGGAATACTAAAGTTGGACACACAGAAATAAGAGTACAAAAAACAACCAAGAAAATGGCCAGCCTAATGGTAGGGACAAAGCTAGAGTTTCACCTACATGCTGCTTGAACTGAATCCTAACCTTTTTCCTGGCTTTAAGTCTTAAACAAATTTCTCTTAACATTTTTTTAATTTTGATCTATTAAAACTACAACTGTTCTTCTTGAAATTAAAATATACCTATTTAATGACTACAGTAAGCTATATAGCTCCAGCCAGGTGCTACTTAATTATATGTTCACTTTACTCACTGAGGTTTACACCTGAAGTCAGACATGTGTTCATAGATTGTAATATATCAGCTGTGCTTGTTACTGAAAGTTTTTAGATCAATTAAGATCTTTAGTGAATCAATAAAATGTAAAAAAAAAAAAAAAAAAAGGCATGGAAAACAACTGTAGATACCAGAAATAGTGTGATAGTGTGGGAGGAGGGTGAGAAATGGTAGAAGGTGATAGGTAGGGAATCAAGGGGGGAGGGGAAGAACCAAAATATTTAAGAAATAGCAAATTATTTGTTGATAATAACACATATGGTAATATCCTTGATTAAACCAGTATACAGTATATCCTGGATGGAAAATCTCATTTTGTATACTTTAATGATGTACAATGAATGAAAGTAAATAAATTAATTAAATAAAAACAAAAACTAAAGACAAAAAAATTAGTTTCCTTGGAGGTCGGAGGTTAAGGTGCTGGACTCCTTCTTGGTCAACTGAGGTTTGAGTCCTGGACCTGGTGGCTTGCTTTTCACTTCCCCTTTCTCTCTCTTTGGTCAAATAAAATAATAATAATAATAATAAATAAATTAAATAATTAAATAATTAGTTTCCCTAATTTCAAACCCCTCACCCACTATAATCTGTCCCACTACTGAATAAAGCAATGGGAAATTTATTGCTATGGTGGTAGCTACTGCATGTTTCAGCCCATCACAAAGGTATTAAGAACAAGGTTCAGGATCAGCAGGTGGCATGATGGTTAAACTTCCGGATACTCCCAAATAGCCAACCATGGGTCGAATCCTAGACCTGGTGGCTTGCTTTCTCATGCCCCCCCCCTTCCTCTGGTAAATTAAAATAAATGAATGAATAAATAAAATTAAATAAATAATTTTTTTTTTTTTTTTAAAGAGAACAAGGCTCTTGTGAGATTTAAAAACAAGATCATGGGACCAGCATATTGTGTAATGGTTATGTTGCTGAACTCCCACATGGCCAACTGTGGTTTGGGTCCCAGACCTGGTGGCTTGAAACTCATACTGGGAGCATGTGTGCACATGCCCCAAATCCCAAGAGTAGAATTCAAGAGAAGGGATTGTAGCATGGCCATTCCCACTGGGGAGTGTGATTTCTCACTTTCTGTCTCTCTGTCTCGCTGGTGAGTGCACATGCCCTATAGCAAAAAATCTTTTTCTCAAAAAAAAAAAAAAAATCATTTGCACATAAATGATTATATGAAGGGTTTAATGTACCAAAGCCTATAAGCCTAAAATGAACCAGAGTAAACCTAATAGAAATAGAATATCAGGATTAAAAAAGACCTGAAACCATAAAAATACTACAAGAAAATCTATACAGCATTGGTATGGGCAACAAAAGCAAAGATAGACAAATAGGACAAAAACAAAATAGAGATAACCTATGACTTGGGAGAAAACATCTGTAAGCCACATGTCTAATCGAGAATTAATAGCCAAAATATATAAGGAACTAAAAATCTTCATAGAAACAAAACAAAATATCCAATTAAAAATGGGCAAGGCAGGGCAAGCAGGTGGCATGGCAGTTAAGGCAGTGGATTCTCACATGGCTGAATGCGATTCAAGTCCCAGTACCCAGAAAGTGGCGTGGTGGTTAAGGGTGCTGGATTCCCACGTGGCCAACCATGGCTCGAGTCCCAGACTTGGCTTTCTTGTTTTCTCTCTCTGTCTCTTGCTCTGTCCCTCTCTGGTCAAATAAATAAATAAAGTTAATAAAATAATTCTTAAAAAAAAGAGAGAGATATACATAAATAAATACTTAAAGAAAGGAGGGGGGAGGGACCTGTATAAACATCTCTCAAAAGAAGTCATACAAATAGTCATGTAAAACCAGCAGGTGGCATGGAGGTTAAAGCAGCTGGATTCCACATCAAGAATATGATTTTAGTTCTGGACCCTGGAGCTTGAGACACATTCCAGGCACTTGTGTGCGCACTTAGAATCTTGAGAAGAGAATGGAGGGGAAGGGATTGTGGCATGGCCTTCTCCCTTGAGGGGTTATTTCTCACTTCCTTTCTCTCTGTCTCTGTCTCTCTTCAGTGAGCACATGCACCCTATGGCAAAAACCTAAACAAACAAAAATAAAAATAAAATTGTCATATGATCCAGCAACCCCTCTTCTGGGTATTTGCCAAGAAGATTTGAAATCAGTGTGAAGAAATGTCTACACTCTCATGTTCATCATAGCATTATTCACAATAGCTAAATTAAGGAAATCAACCTACTTGTCCATTAATAGACACATGGTCAAAGAAAATGTGGTATTACACATATGAAATACAATTTGGCCTTAAAAAAGAAATTTTGTCATTTGGGACAACATGAATGGAAGTGGAGAACATTATGCTAAGTGAAATATGCTAGGCCCAGAAAAACACTCATGTTCTCACATGTGGACTCTAAAACAATTGAACTCAAAGAAAAAAGTAGAATGGTGGTTACCAAAGGCTACAGGGGTTGGGAAATGGGGAGATGATGGTCAAAGGGTACAAAGAGTAAAAAATTAAGACAGGAGAAATAAGTTTTCTGCCCTTTGAGATGTATCATACAATATAGTGACTATAATAAGTAATAATGTATTATACATTTCAAATCACTAAGAGTAAATTTCAAATGTTCTCATCATAAAAAAATAAGTATCCGAGGCAATGACTATATTAATTAGATTGATTTGATTATTTTACATTATATTTAGAAATCATAATATCACTTTGTATCCCATAAATACATACACAACTATAATTTGTCAATTTACTATGAAAACAACTAAAATAATTAAAAAACAAAACCAAAAAATTATTCTAACAATTTATTTAAAAATAAGTCTCTAAATTTAAATTTTCTTCCACATAAGACTAGATACAAATCTCTGATGGTGCTTTACCAAATAACAAAATGAACAAGATGGAATTCTCCGCCAGTATTCAATTCATGGTCAATTTTTTTTTCTTTTTCTTTTTAAGTTTTTGTTATAGGGCACATATGTTTACCAGAAAAGAACGGAGAAAGAGGGAAAGTGAGAAATCCCCCGACCCCCACCGAAGGGGATGGTCTTCTCCATTTTCTTCTTTGGATTTTGGGCAGGCATGCATATGCGCCTGGCATGCTTTTCAAGTTGCCAAGTTTAGGACTTGAACAGTGTATATTCAGCCATGTGGGATCCAGTCATCTTAACCACCAGGCCACCAGCTGGCCCAATAGTCAATATATATATTTTTAACTAATTATTTTATTTATTATTATTACTTTTAAATTTGATCAGAGAGAGAGAGGGAAAGTGAGAAAAGCAAGCTGCCATGTTTAGGTCTTGAACCGTGGTCTGCCATGTGGGAGTCTTAGCATCTTAACCACCATGCCACCTGTCAGCCCTAGTCAATATATCTGATGAGAAATTATAACAGCACAAGTTTTTAAATATACTAATATCTTACCTTTTCTTTTTACTTATGATCATATCAATGGTTTGAAGCAGTCGTCGTTCCAGAGCTAGAATATCTGTATCTGTCACATTCCTACAAAAGTACATATTGTTAGCAAATGTTTGGGGGTTCCACTCTTGAGCATAACACAAAGCATCTGGAGGAAAAATGAACTTAAACTGTCACTCATTAATTCAAGAGCCTGTCATTTTCTAGAAAACATCAAAACGACTGTAAAAAGCCAAAATGCTTTTGCTGTCATTTCTTACACCTACATCCTCTGGGGTCTTGGGGCGATGGAGGGTACCTACCTCTCCTATAGCCTTTCTTAGTTTTGATCCAGTGACAACTTAGGATGTATTTAAGTTTAAGCACATGTTTAACTTGGCATTACCTTCCACTGTTCTAGGAGAAACTGCTGAACTTGAGGTTCATTCACACTGCTGTCTACTAGAAATACGCTTTTAAAAATGTGAGGGAATGTTAGGCTGAAATTTGCCATTAAAAAAATAAAAGTAGGACAAGTAACAAGGGAAAGTAAACTAAATGATAGGACTTATTTAAAAGGATTCTCAGGTCAACAGCAGAAGAAAAGAATAAAAAGGCAGTGTCATAAACCTAATATATAAGTATTAGGGATGGTGGCATATGATGTACATACTCAAGAAGTAATAGGGCCAGCTGGTGGTGTGGTAGTTAAGGGTGCTAGACTCCTACATGGCCAACTGTGGTTCAAGTCTAGGGCCTAGTGGCTTGCTTTCTCACTTTCTCTCTCTCTCTCTCTCTCTTTCTTTCACATGCATGTGTACTCTGTCTTTCTCTGGTCAAATTAAAAATAAATAAATAAAGTTAAATAAAGTCATTCTTAAATTCTTAAAAGAATAGAGAACAAAAGGTAAAGACCAAGTGCTCATTACCTGAGGAAGTAGGACATGTAAGTGTACGGGCAGTTGACAGCACCAAATCCAGAGAGGAGAGCCATGAGAGTTACCCCAATCACACCAACCCGGCTGATGAGCTGTTCTATGGACAGGATCCCTAAAAGCATTGAAGCACATTAATGCCAGGTAATATATCAATAGATAAGATGATGTTCATCTATATTGCAAAAGGAAACATCACTGAAAATATCAAGTATTATTTATAGATAACTCATATAAGCCCACTTTTAATTACTGCTATGTAAATATTCTACAATAAACATACAAAAAGTCTATTGATGGTCCTTTTTTACTATATGCTTCAGAGCCATCTCTTATTGGATAATGATAATAGTCAAATAATAATAACAACAATAATTTTTTTTTTGGAGAGGGTTTTTTTTTTTTTTTTGCTTTAGGGTGTGTGTACTCGCCAGACAGACAGAGACAGAGACAGAAAGTGAGAAATCACCCCCAAGGGGGATGGCCATGCCGCAATCCCTTCTCCTCCATTCTCCTCTCGGGATCTTGGGCACGCATGCACACATGCCCAGCGTGAGTTTTCAGCCACCAGGTCTGGGACTTGAATCGCAGTCGACTACATGGAAGTCCAGCGACATAGCCATTACACTAACTGCTGGTCCCAATAACAACAATAATTATAAATAACACTTATTGGATGTTTACTCTAGATAATATAAACTTTAACAAAGCAAAGTAACTTTTAGTAAAAAGCCTGAGCAAAGAAAAAGAAGAAATTGGGGCCAGCAGGTGGTCCAGTGGTTAAAGTGCTGGACTTTCACAAGGCCAACTGCTTTTTGGATCTGGCAGCTTGAAACTCATGCCAGGTATGTGTGTGTACATGCCCAAAATCTTAGGAAGAGAATAGAGGAGAAGGGATTACAGCATGGTCATACCTCCTAGGGGGTGATTTCTCACTTTCCCTCTCACTGTCTCTCTGGTGAGGCACGTGCCTTATGGCAAAAATCTCTCTCTCTTTTATTTTTAAGTTTTGCTATAGGGTGCATGTAGTCACTGGAGAGAGAGCATGAGTGTGAGAGCGAGAGTGAGAAAGAGAAAGTAAGAAAGATCTTCTCTTGAAGTTACCCATTCATTTCTATTAGCATTGCCACCACTGAACTTTACCTGAACTGTTGCAATAGTCTCTCTTTCTCTCTCGTTTTTTTAGATTTTTGTCAAGGGGCACATGCTCTTGCTGGAGAGAGAGAGAAGGATCCCCTCAAGTGGGGAGACAGCCTTGCTGCAATCCCTTCTCCATTCTCCTCTTGGGATTTTGGGCATGCATCCAACATGTTTTTTAAGCTGCTGAGTCTGGAACTCAAACTGTGCAGTCAGCTGTGTGGGATCCAGCTGCCTTAACCACCATGCACCTGCTGGCCCATATTTTAAAAAACTTTTAGGGGTCAGGAGGTGGTATAGTGGTTAAAGCGCTGGACTTTCACATGGTCAACCATGGTTCAAGTTCCAGACCTGGCAGCTTGAAACTCTCACCAGGTGTGTATGTGTGTGTGCTGAGATCCTGAGAAGAGAATGGAGAAGGGATTTTGGCATGGCCATTGCCCCTGGGGGAGAGGGGGTGATTTCTCGCTTTCTGTCTCTTATCTCTGTCTCTCCAGAGAGCACACATACCCATAGTAAAAATCTCTAAAAAAATTGTCTTAAACATGATTTCTTATTTACATCTAATTGTTTTATATCTTTGTGGGTTACAGTATAGATTTCAAGAATTAAAAAACAAATACAGCGGGCAAGTGCACTCACTGGAGAGAGAGACAGAGAAAGCATCCCCCATGAAGCATGATCACACTGCAGTCTCTTCTCTTACATTTTGCCTTCCTTTTAGGATTCTGAACATGCATACATATTTGCTTGACATGTTTTTGCAGTCACTGGGTCCAGGACTCAAACTGGGTAGTTAGCTATTTGAGTTCTAGCCACCTTAACTACCTTGCCACTGGCTGATCCCAGTATGAATTTTCAAAGTATACTTGCAGTGTGCGATAATCGAATCAATGATATTAGCATATTTGTTGTCTTCAAAAAAGAACATTACACTACTTTGTGTACCTTCAAATTTCATTCTGCCATCAAAAGTTTTTTTTTTTTTCTCCATATATATAATAGACAATGTTTCTTTTTAAAAACTCTGTTGTGGTATATCATTCCATAACCTATTTGTTTATACACATTCTTAGGTCTGTTAAAGCCTTTATTCCCCCTGGGCCCCTGCTACATACCCTCCATAAAAATTAGTTTTTCTCAAAATTGAAAAATGTAACCTTCCTGTCTCCCCCTGAAACACTCCATATATACTTACCATGTTTGGGACTTAGAATGGGAAATGGATCTCCTAGTTTCCAGAAGAAATACATAAAGGTCAACCATAAGAGACAGGAAAAAAGCAGTCGCTGTTTATGCACTAAAACAAAGGAGATAAGACTATTAGAGACAATAGACACAGTTTAAAGAGCTTGCACTACTTAAAAAAAACACAAGATTATGCTAGTTAATGTTTGTCTGGCTTTTTCACTTGGCAAACATGATTTTAGTGAAAGCAGCCACCATAAGAGAAAATTGGCTAGGGAGCAGCATTGGCGTAACGGCTATGTCACTGGACTCCCATGTAGTCGGCCGCAGTTCGAGTCCCAGGCCCGGTGGTTAAAACTCCACCTGGTGCGTGTGCGTCTGTGACCAGGATCCTGTGAGGAGAATGGAGGAGAAGGGATTGTGGTGTGGCCATATTCCCTGGAGGGTGATTTCTCGCTTTCTGTTTCTCTGTTTCTGTCTTTCTGGCCAATGCACTCGCCCTATTCAAAACAAACAAACAAACAAAACAAAACAAAACTCTCAAAAAATAAATGAAAAAGAGAAAATTGGCTAAAATGAAGATGTGGGTTGAGTTAAAAGGGACATTATTAACAATTAGAAACAGAAACAGTTGTGGCAGGACAAATAACCTATTGTTCATCCTGTATTTATTCTGTGCCAACTTTAAAAATAAACAAAAGACATTTATTTATTGGGGTCCACAGGTGGCGTGGTGGTTAAGGCATTGGACTCACACACGGTCAACCATGGCTTGAATCCTGGACCTGGCAGCTTGCTTTCTCACTCTCCAACTCACCTCTGTTGAATGCATGTGCCCTGCTGCAAATTAAAAAGTAGTAATAATGATAAATAAAATTAGATAAATAATTATTTTAAAAAACCCCACACATTTATTTATTTATCTATTTGTTCTTATTGTATCTTATTGTTCTTTTCTTCTTCTGGAAGAAGCGTACGCTTTCCAGAAAGACAGAAAGAGACAGACAGAAAGTGAGAAATCACCCCCCCAGGGGGGATAGCCATGCTGCAATCCCTTCTTCTCCATTCTCCTCTTGGGATCTTGGGCATGTACATACATGCGCCCAGTGTGAGTTTAAGCCACCGGGTCCGGGAATCAAACCACGGTTGACTAGGTAGGTGTCCAGTGACATAGCCATTATGCCAACTACTGGTACCATATTTGTTGTTATTTTCAAGCTACCATGTCCAGGACTTGAACTACAGTTGGCCATGTGGAATTTAGTACCTTAACCACCATGCCATCTGTTGGCCTTTGTTCCAACCTTTTTAAGATACTGTGTGAGATGTCCCCAAGTAGCAGTAGCTTCTTTTTTTTTTTTTTTTT